GTTCTAAACTGGTAAAGTTTTGACTTTGTTTCCCTCAACACTCAATATATCAATCCACTTTTTAATGTATTTCTATGTAAATTTTACCTGTATATCTCTGTGGAGGATCTGTTTTTCTAACTCTGACTTTTTCAAAAATTTCTAAGTATCTTTGCTTTTCCATGGTTTGAAAATAATATGCTCAAGGTGTAGTTCTTTCGGCTTTTACACTGCTTGATACTCTCTGAGCTTCTGGGAATCTGTGGTTGGATGTCTGACATTTACTTGGGAATCTTCCCAGTTGCTGTTATTTCAAATAATTCCCCTGTTCCTTCTCTTTTCTGTCTTCCTGTTCTTGCTGTTACATGTGTTTTATAGGTGTTACAGTGCTTCCACAGTGCTTGAAATATTCTGCTCTTGATTTTTTAATCACCCTTTATTTTCTTTGCTTTACAGATTTGGAGGGGTTTCTAAAATGCTGTCTTCAAATTTAGAATTCCTTCCCCAGCCAGGTCTAGTCTACCAACAAGCCCATGAAAGGCACCTTCAGCTCTGCTGTAGTGGTGTTTATCTCTAGCACGTTTTTAGTTCATTCTTAGATTTTCTATATCTTTTCTTATATTACCCATATGTTTCTAGACACTGATATGGTTGCCTTAACTTCTCTGTGAGGTCATTCATCCCACATCATCTGCTTCTGATATGTGTTCTGCCCCTTCACACTGCATTCTGGAATCTCACTTTGCCTCGTGGTTTGGTTTGATTTTGTACTCAGATGAGGCACACTGGGTGAAGGAACTGATGTCAACAGACCTTCAGTAGAGCGGATGGTAAGAGTATGGGACGAGAAAGCATTGTGCAGTCTTTGATTCCATCTAAGCCCTTTACTGGATTTAGACCATTGGATTCTGAACTTTATAGTTTTTGGGTATCTCCATCTTCACCCTTACATAGCTACCACGTGACACAAGATGACTACAGTGGTTTGGAATTAAGTGTTTCTCTCTCCCAAGGAAAAAGCCAAAACTAATTAGAGTTAGATATCTCCTCATTCCAGTGATCCAGGGTCTGGTAAAAACCTTCAGGCCAGGCTCTGGTGAACTAGTTTCTCCTGAGAGTAGACTATCAGCCCAGTTCTCTGACAGCCTTTAGTGTGGTTCTCTTTTTCTCCTGGAAAAATCAGTAGAGGGTTTTTCGTCTATTATTTAGAGTGAGAACACGATTAAGTTCTAGAGTTAACACCACAAAAATGTAAGAGAACTTCTATGTCCACTTCTTTCTGCTGTTTACAATTCTCAGCCTTGTCTATACTGATACTCCAACAGCCCGTTAATTGCAGTTCTTTAGCCCATATTCTATCATTGGCTCCCAGGAAGGTTTTGTGCTGTGATTCTCTGTGTCTGCCAATGCTATGACTCCAATCTAGGGGGTGGGGGAATGTCATCAGATTACCCTGGTCCTACTTCTCCTGTGAATATATGAAGCAATGTTGATTTGTTATTTATCTCTGATAGAGCTGACATATAGAATTAGGAATGAGAATTACTTTCAGATTTCCCAAATTTAGAAATACAAGCTTTAAATTTCAGTAATTAAATTGAGCATGTCTTTATAATCAGTCATTATGCTAAGGGTTGGATGAGCTAACTAGTTAACCTTTAATTGCCTCCATTTATTAATAAGATAAACCTTTTAATATAGTCCAAAAGAAGCAGATATTATCAGCACAGCTGCTCATGGTTTTGTTTGACAGATGTAAGGAAGATGGCCAAAGCAATGTATGATCTAGGAAAAGAAATCTGCCAGGATTATTCTCTGGAGACATTACAGTACACAATTGCATGATGATCATAAAGTCCTTGGGGGAAATCACATCATTTCATTCTCAAAATTACATAGAAATACAGCAAGTACCATTTGTACACTGGACAAGTGTGTCTTAGGGCTTGTGAATGGGACCATTGGCAGCAACCTTTTCCACAAGATCATAAAGTGTGTGGTTGCAGAAAAGTCTGGCCATGTGCATATGAATCTTTGGCAATACTAACAAGAAAGAGGCCTTTGGACCAAAAGGGTTTCTATCTTTGGGCCAAAAACCAAAGAGAAAGCCTTAATTTCTTTGAGGTTCCCTGAGACCATTGGCATCATATCACGTGGGTACTTATTAAAAATTGAATTAGTTACAATTCTCATCATCATGATAGAATATTTCATAGAAAGAACTCAAGGTAGGGGAAAGTGATTTGGGCTTGTGGCTTGAGACAGTGTAGTTGATCATGGCAGGTAGGGTGTAGCAGAGAGTATGAGGTTACCTCATGGCAGCAGTCATGGAGACGACAGTTCAGAGAGGAACTAGGCCCACGTTATAACCTCATGGCCTAAACACATGGCTCCACGCCTGCTGCTGAGGTGTCACATTCAAAAGATTCCACAACCTGTCCAAACAATGCCTCCAGCTAGTGACTTGCTGTACAAATGCATGTGCCTCAAGGAAGTATTTCATACAAAACTATTTAAAAAATGCGTATTCCTGGAGCTCCACCCTGAAACACTGAATCAACACTTATGAAAGTAGATGTAGGATTCAGTTTCTTAAAGTTCCATTGAGTGACTGCTAACCCCACATAGGAATTGAGAGCCTCCATTTGTGGCTAATGTATCCTGAAATATACATGAACTGGCTTCATCCCTCTGAATGTAAGGAACATAGATCATACTTTAAAATGACCTAAATAAAGATGACCCGGCCTTTGGGACATTCCTATCTGCTATCTGTTAAACAAAATGAACCAAACTATTCAGCATCAGTTGATTGAGTCATTTTATTGACCAGAGAAGCCATGAACTGATGAGAGTGATCTGATAACATAGGACCAGATAAACGATGGACTCACAAGAAACTGCGTAATACAGTAGCGTGGACTGGTTGGTCTATCTAGGTCACTTTTCAACACCGTCACTTGAAAATATGACCTAGCAAGTTGCTCTCTAAATGTATCTCCCTCCTTCAGCTAACCAGTAAGGCAGCTTTGTTGTCAAACTGCTTCTTTGGCTCATTTTGATTATTCTATTCAGCGGCCAGACATCAAAATATTTTCCCTCTATTACTCATACCCACAGATCTTAGCAGCAATCAAAATGATTTCAAAACTGGGAGTCTTTCTGTTGTATTCTAAGGTTAGCATATTATATCTAATACCTTATGAAGTTCAGTGGCTGTTTAAAATTGTTTTACCTTACTGTGACAAAATTGTAACATCTGTATTTAATGCTCTCATTAAATATTTCAAACTCTCAGGAATGACAGTTGTCAGAGGAGGTCTACAAACTAGCTGAAAAGGATCGTGGGCTGCTTTTAAGCCGTTTTTCTCCATGTGAGGGATGACCACTGTCTTCTTAGACAAATTGTATGTACAGCCTAGATGTACATTATCACAACCCACCAGGAACTGGGTCTGTATACAACTCTATGGCTGCAGTAAACAGACTGAGAAATCTGAATCCCCTTAAAATCAAGCACTCACTAGTCTCCACTGAATTCCGTAACTACACACCCATGTGTTATAGATAAATGATAGATGGACAGATGATAGAATGGCATATGCTTGATTGGATAGATAGATAGATAGATAGATAGATAGATAGATAATAAATGGATGATGGATAATTGATTATATAAATAGAAGACAGATAGATGGTTATTAGATACATAGATGATAGATAGGTGATAGACTGATAGACACTTGATCAGACAGGTAGATAAATAGACAGACAATAGATGGATAGTCAATTGATAGATGATAGATAAATAGATGATACACACATACATACATACATAGACACACAGATAGATAAATAGATGATAGAAGATAGAGAGAGAGATTGTAGACTGATAGATGATTAATTAGATATCCACTTAAACGTTAAGGTTGTCTTGAGGGGTATTTTTACTTATTCTATCTTGAATTAATATATAACTATTCATATCAAATATAATGGATCATCTTGAATAATTGTCAAAATGAACTCACTAACCATCAAATTTTAGTAGTAAAGCCAGGCTACACTTTCCATCACTGATAGCCAATGATTCCATTTGTATGTAGTCATGGTCAACCATGATCCTATAATAAAATACGCTTTTATTTTAGCAGTTTATAAAGCTATCACTCACTTGCTTTATGACTGGCCTCAATATTTAGGATCTTTTTACATTGTTTTCAGTTCCTCCAACAAAGTTGATATCAACTATAGCCTAGTTCAGGTGTCAACAACGTTTTCTTAAAGGGCCAGGTAGTCGTTCTTTTAAGATGTGCAGGCCATGCTCTCTCATTTTCAACAACTCGTATCTGTCACTGTCGTGTAAAAGCAGTAATCATAGAATGTGAACAAGGGTGTATTCCAGTTAGACTTTGCAGATACTAACATCTGAATTTTACATTACAATTTTCACATCAAGACATATTCTTCCTTTGATTTTTTTTCTAACCATTGAGAAAAGCAAAGCTGATGCTTAGCTTATGGACCATGAAACAAAACAGGATTCTGTTTGAAGTTAGACCATGGACTAGAGTTCACCAGCTCCTGGCTTAGGATAATACATTTCAGGTCATAAACCAACCTCAGCAGATATAAATCAAAGAAGCAGTGTTTTACTACTATGAAATTTCACTTCTACCTTCAATTGACCAGTACTGTTCAATTAGAACAATGACTAATTTGCGTAAACAACTCTGACTCTCATCGAACCTAACTCTAGTCCACTGGGTGTAAAAGCACTTGCTGCCAAGCCTGACAGCCTGAGTTCAGTTCCCAAAAACAACATAACAGGAGAGCACCAACTCCAAAAAGCTGTCCTCCGGTCTCCACACACACACAAACACACAAAAGAAATAAGTGTCATTTTGTTTAAAAACAAGAAGGTTTTCTCTTTGACAATTGCAGAGTTGCATTTAAAAGGCTTTCTAAAATGGAAAGACTGTATTTCGTTCCCTGAGTGTGTTTTTTGTTTGTTTGCTTAGGTCTGCCCTGCTACAGAAAGGAGTGATCCAGGCCCTCAGCAGAGAGGTGTCTTCCGCAGACCAGAGCGGCACCTCGCGATCTCTGCCGACAAGGTAGTGACGGGGCATTATTCGCCTGCTCCTTTTCTCCTTCTGAAACTTGCTGGGACATAAACATTTGGCTCTTTCTCTTGAAAATTTTCTCCTCTGGATTCTGATTATTGCTGAGTCTGACCTGTGTGCCTTTGGGTCATGTGTGCAAGAGAGTTTTGTTGTTGGATATTGGCATGTCTATAACAGTTCACTCTTTGATTTCACATTCTCTTATTACTATTGCTTTGGTTTTATTGCAAGGTGTTTTTATTTCCTCAAAACATGAGCTTCATCTTTAGAAGAAAATAAAACTATTATAAAAGAGTTATTAGAAGTCTATTCAGAAAAGTAGCTCTATGGATCTGCTTTTTAGAAGGGAAGCTGTCAAGTACACTCATATATCGACTCCACCCTAGGATGGACACAGTATCACACAGGCCACGGTTATATTTCTTCTGTTTCCCAATGTCAGCAAAACCAAAGAAAAAGGCCTCAGAAAAGACACACTCATATTCTTATTCTATTAAAATGGTATCTAAATTCAAAATAAAGATCTCAACACACTTATACTCTTGGACGATTAAAATGGTAATTAAATGGGCTATTAAATTTAAAATAATAATCTCCTTTCTTAAATAATTTACCTTGAGGTTTTTTCCTACTAGTGAATTTTAGTATCTGGACTTGGGAGTGACTTACACTCAGTCCAGTTTCAAGGAAAAGGAAATCAATCAACTGTTTCAAGTCATCCTCACTTAATGTCTCTTCCTGAGTCCCTTTCCTTTTATTCTTAGCTTATTAAGTACTGTAGCATTGGCTACTGACGACCCTATACTCTGGAGTATCTGTTACTCTGATAAGTCATTCCTAGGAATAGCAGTTTCATTTATTAAAGCTACTTAATTCATTTTGGTTTTGTTGATTTTCATGGTTGTGTTTCTCATTTTTTTTCAATACATTCCCTGTTTCCATTTCTTTTCAATGTTTTAATCCAATTACCAGCTCTGTAAACAAGAATTTGCCACATCTACAGTAAAAGCACTGAACTGTAGTGGAAGTGATTTCTGATTACTGAAGAGCTCATTTCTAAGGGACACAAGGAACTGCTTGCAGTGAACTGACGAAAAGAAGAATGGAAAATGCCTTGTTAGGTGACTATGGCAGAGATGCAGAACACAGAGGACAAGCAAAAAGTCACAGAATTCTAAAACACATAGGCATTTTTCTGGACAGTGGTTCAGATCTGAGTCATATGCAATGAATTTAGTTATGAGAGAAAACTTTGCATATTTTATAAATCAAGGCTTCCATTGATATTGAGGCTGGACTTACTAGCTGAGAGGTGGCAAAAAAAAAAAAATAGACTCTTGAAACCCCTAGAGTTTTATTAACAAAGCCAAAGGCAAAAATCATTAAGCAAGAATAACTTTAGGTTTTGGGTTCCTGGTCCTTTTATCTCTTTGGTGGTCTCTTTTTATTCTACCATTTCTAGAGTGTCTACTTTCATGGCCCCTTACTCCCACAAAAGAGAAACTGAAGTATTTCTTGGACCTGGATGTAAGATTAATAACGCCTTGAGAAAGCACTAGGTTAAATCTTTTACATGTTGCCTGGGACTCAGGCCTTAGAACAGGCATAGAAGACGGGGGAGGCGGTGACTGTTGTAGTGGAGCCCCCAGATGAGCAAATGTTCCAGGAAGTAGGAGCACTGTCCCTGAATCCTCACAGTCCTGAGACTGCACACCACAGCTTAAGTTGCTCCTTAGTGAATAGGCAGGTCTGCTGGAGATCATGTACTCAGAGCTGCAGTCACAGCCAAGGGAGTTCAAATCTCAGTGACTGCCAGTGCATGAGTGATAAGTGGGGGGAGGGGTGGAAAGCCCTTTTGACTGGCTGAAGAATCAGTAAAAAAGAAAAAAAAAGTTTTAAAAATAACAACAAAAATAACAGCAAAATGTTTGTCACATAAGGCCAGCTTCCATCCCAAGAATAGGACATTCTATTTCAAAGCGGGTAAATCTGATACATAGCTTACAGAGTCTGGACAAACCATCAGACAGGGAAGCAGGGACAGTAAGCTTTGAACCATGCCAACTGAGGTTTTCACGTCATCATGTATTCTTTCTGGCAAAGCCTAGGAAACTGAGCACCCATGATCCTAGGATTCAATTTACAGTTTCATAGGAGGGAAGAGGAAGTTTTTGTAATATAATTTTTATCTGTTACAGTTTACTCACTTTGTATCCCTGCTGTAGCCCCACCCTCATTCCATCTCAATCCCACCCTCTCTCCCTCCCTCCCTCATCTACTCCTATTATGCCCCTTGATTACCTCCCCCTGAGGATGAGGAACTTTTAAAACATGTCGGGCCAAGTTTAAAGCAATCATGGGAAATAAAAACATTTGACTCTGGTCAGTTCCTACCATGGTTTTGATAAGCATGTAAGAATGGGCATCTAGGGGTAGAGAAATCAGCTCTGTTGGGTCCTGCCTCCCCTTTCTCAGAGGCTAAAGGGAATCAGATCTTCCTTTGCCTTGTGGTGGATTTGGATGGTGTAGTTTTACTGCACTTAGTAATTCAGCCTTACATATGTCAAATCATCAAATTTCCATAGTATTTAAGAAGCATTTAACTGCCAAATGATGAATAAAATGTGTGATTTAAACACTGAAATCTAAAGTTTAATGTCACTTTTATGGTTTCATGATGTACTATAAAATACAGAGCATAATTTACAACGGCAATGGCAGTCACCCAATACATTCTGCAGATTTGCCTCCCCTGATATCAGAGCATACCTAACTGAGAAGTCATAGTCAGCTGTGACACAGGCCTTGTAACTTTGATTCTGTATCAGAGGCCAAGTCCTAAGTACGGAGAAGGTAGTCATTTGAATCGGTCATTTGAAGCTGACTCAATAGCTCAGGACTTTTGTTGAGAAACAAAACAGCCCTTTTTGGGACAATGTAGGTATAAAAGAGTCTGTTCTCTAAATAAACCATGGGATTCCATGAGCTAAATAAAGAGAATAACACAAGTAAGGATCTCAGTAAATGAAAAGCAGCGTTCAGAGGTTCAATGATCCACTTTGCTTTTTCTATATCAATAATGACTTCAGAATCATCTCCTCTACATAAGAGGTCACTTTGGAATGTAATGGTGGCAAAGGGTATGGGCTGTCCACTTTGGGTTTTATTATAGCCATCTGGGCAAATAAGTGCTAAGTTTCCAGGATGCTTCAATGTGGTGTGATGAGGAAATTCGTTGGCATTTACACAATGCCAGCTCAGTAGCCATCTTATATTATTGTGTTAATATATTGAGGGAAAGGTGGTGCTTTCCACAGCGATGGGTTGTTTTACAGATGAGCTACAGAGGTTTTTGAAGTTACCATCATGGCATTTAGATCAGGGAACATTTACAAAAAAAAAAAAAAAAAAAAAAAAAAAAAAAAAAAAAAAAAAAAAAAACACTTAATTTCTGAAAAAATGTTTATGCTGGGTCTGTTTCCTTCAATCTCTTGCCAACTTGCCGTTTTCAGACTAAACAAGGACAATTTCTCATCATTCCAGATAGTTGAGTCCACCCTGTGCCTTAGTCCTATTTTGTCCTGGAGCAGAAAGTAGGTTCTGTGCCTAAGAAAGGTTCTTAGTTATACCAGGATGGTAAACTGGGATTCGGCCCCTGTCCAGATTCCATACTCAGGGATCGGCCTTAAATAGTGGTTTTCCTAACTCAGGTCCTGAGTCCTGGTCTCCTGTGCTTTCTGACCCTTATTTCAGGAAACCACTATGCCCATGATGTTTCTGTACTTAAACTCTGGGGGTCTTCTTTGTCCTTTCTGGTATCTCACAGAATACTTGGTTGCAGAATGACTATACAGATCAGTATATGCAAAACAGTGATGGCCTGGATCTGCATTATTTTTCATGGTTGCCCAGAATCTCTGTGTAAAAAGATTGCCATAGAAATAGAAAAGGTTCATTTTCCTCCACTCCACACTTTCCATCAGGCCTCACTGGAGAGACGAATGTGCTCTTTAAAAATTTATTTCCTCAGCAGTTCCTCTTCCTATAAATGGGAACCTGGGATCTCATAAAACCAAATTAAAATTATCAAATGCTATTGAACCAACCTAATGAAAATTTTAACCAAAAGTCATTGTAAATTAGGTATGTGATATACTGAAAATGCAAGCCTTTGTAAAGCAGGTATTGTTCTTATGTAAACCCATGAATGGAGACTTTCTTGAATAAATTGCTTTCTAATAACATCAGAGAGTCATTGGCTGGATAAATACCTCCCCGGGCATTCACTGAGGTTCCTGAATTTAAATGTTCAATCGAACTTCTTATTTGTCACAATTCCTAATGAGTTTTTCTTTATGAAATCATTATTAGTATGAAAAAAAAGTAGAAATTTGTACCTAATTTCTGGATTAATGCTCTTTAAAAGACCTCAAGGGGTTGGATTTTTTTTCTTGCGGAAACACAACATTTACATAATTTCTATTGCCCCAACGTTTTAAAGCCCTCAACCCACTGCCAGTTTACTACCTGAAGCAGGAGGAAGAAAAATGATCTGAACAGGCAGAATGGCTGGGATTTCTGCTGAGGGGAACAATGGGCCTGCTTAAAGGACCCCGGGGGCAAAATGATTTCTTCCATGAAGTAGGTGAAGGCTTTGAAGACATTCTTTCTAAGGCTTATGGTTCCAGCAAGGCCTGATGCTGCTGTTCTATCTCCGAACATTCGGGGCCAAGTTCAGCATGTGCTAAGTCATTTCATGCATGCATGCGCTGTGGTGGTTTGAATAAGAATAGCCTCATAAGCTCATATATATTTGAATGCTTAGTCATCAGGGAGTGACACTACCTGAGAAGAGATAGGAGGTGTGTCCTTCTTGGAGGAAGTGTGTCACTGAACGTATGCTTTGAGTTTCAAAAACCTAAGCCAGCCCTTCTTGCTGCCAGAGGATCCAGATGTAGAATTCTCAGTTGCTTCTCCAGAACCACATCTGC